TCACGTTCACTCACTTTCTCTCTATGACACTTTCACGAATATCTACAAATCGATCGCATTCAAATCGCAACACCTCTGAATGTTACTCGGTCGTCGGTCATCTTTCCTGTCCGGCAACGTCCTCCTCGGTTCGAATCCGCTCATATGTTTCCATCCTATTGCGCATGCTTGCATTTGACTGAATTCACGTCTCGAATCGACCCATAACCCATCTCAAACCCCACGACCATATCCGACCGGACTCGATTCGCATTCGAAATCAATTCAAACCTCCCAACCGTGCACCTAACACTGCATACACAACCGGTTACCGTCACGTTCACTCACTTTCTCTCTATGTACTAAGTCACGGATTAACAATGGTTGTTGCACTCTGAGCTGTTCCATGAGTTGTATTTATTTTTCTTGCATTCAGTTAATGTTCCAGATATGCAGTCTAGCTGTACAGCATGATAGGGAAAGCCGTACATGTTTAACGCTCATTTTGATCACAAAATACAGACATGTTGGTTATCTTCACTCCCTGATCGGGGAGTGAGCCCTATCGGTCATTTTCGTTATTCTCATCATATGTTGATTCCATACATGATAACTAGTATACCTCATCCAGCTCTTTATAAGATCGTCCTTCATTAATTGTATATTTCTTTTCTTTGTCGGGCATTGTGCCTCCTGCGTATTCCCCGCACTCAGGGATAGGCGCAGCACCGGCGAGGCAGACGCGGACGCGCGGGAGAAGTTGGAGAAAGCGAACATCGTGTAGGAGAGACCGTAGCTGAGAACGAAACGAAAAGTAAATCAGCGACTGGACACGCGCAGAACAGGATAGACACACCCAAAGGGCCATTGCGGCGTGATCCCGCGATGATGAAAACGTTTGTATCTCTGCACCCCCGCATATCAGCGTCCCATTTCGCGTGTTCCTTATGCCCCACTCACCACAAACAAATCCTCTCCATACCGCACCTTGCCATTCTCCGACCGAAAATGCCCAAAACTCGCATAATCCTCCAACCTCCTCCCAAACGTCAAGCTCATCCGCCCACACGGATTCATCCTCCCAACCAAAACATCCTCCACCGCCTCGCCCGTCGCGTTCCTCAAATACCATGCATGCACGATCCCCAGCACGCCCGGCTCCTCCGCCCACGGCATCGTGATCGCCGACCCCGCCTGCATCACGACCACCGTGCGCTTGCACTTGTTCGCCCTCACCACGCGCCACATGAGCTCGTCTGTCTGCCCTGGGAGCGCAAGCGTCGTCTGATCGTACCCCTCCGTCTCCCAGTCCACGTTCAATCCCACGACGACGACCACCGCATCCGCCTCGGCCGCGACAAGCTCCGCGCACGCCATCAGCGCGTCCGCGTCCTCCACCATCGCCCCGCCGAGCCGCACGCCCAGATTAGAGTCCATCACCGCCTCGTCCGGGTCGGCCGCCGCCGGCGCGCACATGTTGCAGTACTCGACGACGATCTCATGCTTGACGCCTGCCTTGAGCGGGACCACGCCCTTGTCTTCTGTCGATCCCGAGCTGAAGAACGCGTCGCCCCACGTCTGGCGTGTCCAATTATCGATCACGAGCTTGCCGTCGATGTACAGCTGCGGGGCCGCGCGTCAGTAGAGGAGTTTCAGGGGGAGACACACACGCACCTTCGCGTGCCCGGCGGACGAGAGCCCGAACTCAAAGTCGCAGTCGGTCTCGCACGGCTTGAGGAAGCCCGTTACCTTGAGCGTCCAGCGCTTCATCAGCTCCACGGGATAGCTCGTGCTACAGCCTCTCAGCGCTCGCATCCCATGCACAAACACCAAGCCCGACCGCGCCCCTGAAGAACATCCTCGTCTCATCGATGTACTGCGTCTTCAGTGGCTCCTTCACTGGCACCATGCTCTCATCGCTCTCGTGCGCGTACCACGCACCCATCCACCCGCGCCGGCCATCCTCGGTGAACATGTCCCAGTCGAGGCTCAGCGTGAGCATGTACGCTGTACGACCATCAGCCACGTCTCGTCAGGAAGGAGGAAGACAGCGCGTTACCCCTTGCACCCTCGCAGTACGTGACCTCGACGTCGGGCGTGACCTTGCCGAGGGCTGCGACGATCTCGTCATATGGACTCACGAAAAAGCTCAGCTTCAGGGCAGCGGACCTGCCGCCGCTCAGCACCGCCGCCTTCGCGTTCCCGCCGACGATCGCGATCTTCTTGATGCCTTGCACCTGGCATGCCGTTATGACCGATTAAATGAGTTGGAGGCCAACACGGACGCACCTTGGGCTTCAGCGGGAGGACGCCACCCTCGTTCTTGAGCAGCACGATCGACGCAGCGGCAAGTTCACGCATGAGCGCGCGCTCCTCGGGCGTGTCTTCCGTGCGCTCGAGGCCATCGCCATCGAGGATCTGGTGCGGTATGATATTCGAGCCATCAAATCGAGAGGGAAGAGAGCCGCGAGACGTACCGCGGGCGCGGCCTTTGCACACCGCTGTGCAAGCTCGAGGACCTTCCGCGCGCGCTCGTTCACCGTGTGCTTCATGATCTTCCTGCTCTGAACCCTGTACGCGGCATGTCAGCATTAGCTGCGCGATGCATCGCGTGGGCTCACGCGCGGGTCTTCGAGGTCGGCCGATGGCGCTGGGGACATCGAACGAGAGGCAGGGAGGACGCTGAAACAGTGAGTGCATGCGCCGTGGTGCGATGCTCGATACAGCTGGATGGAAACTCACCTGATGAAGCGTTCCTACCCACCCTACGTCCGCTCTCGCCCACCTACGCGCTCCGTGAGATCCCCGCCTCGCCCTCCTGCTGCGGCGCTGCTGGAGACGGTGAGAGGGCCTTGTAGACGTGCGTGCGTTCGTGACGCTACATTGACGGCGATGATACCGTGGCCGTACGCAGTGGAGCCGTCTCGTTCGGTGCGGGGAATGTGGTAG